TACATTCTCAAGGTTTGACTTGAACACAGAACCTTTGACATTCATCCCTTCAAAAACATTGAACTGGTGCTTGCTACCCTATTCAGACATAGGTAGCATCACTCAGGGTGATTTTCAATTTTGTTTTGAAACATTTCACATATAGGGAAGCCCACTTTTTGGTAAATTGGAATGGGCTTTAACGATGGACAATACTTGGTCTGTGATCTACCATTCTGTTTTAATGACTCCATTCAAGACAGCTATGCTCATATCCAAGAACTGTCTTAGGTACACTCAGATTACAAGACTTTAGAGAAGGTTTCCAATTTTCTTGGAGTCTCTTCTTCTGTGAGTGGGTACAGCTGTACACACACTGGACTCATGGGTCTCAAGGTTGACCTTCTGCAGTGGCTTCCTGAAGTTTCAGAGCCCTCATTGCACTTCTGAGGTTCTGTCTACATTCCACACAGGGCATTTATCAACACCCGCCCCACCCCACCGCCCCCAAAAAATTAAATTGGTGAAGGAGCAGACAATAGCTATCTCAGATGCCACCATCATGCTAAAGATTTTGAAGAAAAAGGGCTGGAGAGATGGCTCAGAGATTAAGAGCATTGCCTGCTCTTCCAAAGGTCCTGAGTTCAATTCCCAGCAACCACATGGTGGCTCACAACCATCTGTAATGGGGTCTGGTGCCCTCTTCTGGCCTACAGGCATACACACAGACAGAATATTGTATACATAATAAATAAATAAATAAATGTTTTTTAAAAAAGATTTTGAGGAAAATCACACTAAATAAAGGTTTTAATAATGATGGCCAATATACCTCCAAGGCAGTACAGTTGGCTTCAACTGACACAGCTACTCCTCTAGACACAACTACACTCTTCACAACAAACGATCATGGTAGAAGGAAAATGGTTTGAAAACATACGCGCTGTTATATTCCGTGTTGTTCATCCACCTCCAAGTGTGCTTTTGTGACTGTCTGTGCAGGCCAATCCAGTAGTCAAAGGTCCCTATGTATCTCTTCAGGAAATTCTGTCATAAAAAATGGAAAGAAAATACATGTGTCTCTCTGTTTCAGATGACTCTTGAGTTTCCCTACCCCACAGCTTTCTCTTTTGATGACAAGAGGGTGGACCTGAAGGACATAGACTTTGGAGCCATAATAGCCCTCAGTTCTCAGTAGATCCAATTGACAGCCATAATTCTTAAGTACCTCATTTGAATTAAAGTACCGAGTTTTATGACATATTCCTAATGGTTGGGTGAGTCCCTGGTTAAGTCTCCCCTTGCAGTTATTAACAGTTGTCACCTTCAGGATGCAGCATTTGCTAGCTTGGAGAAAAATGCTCATCACTAGCAGGTATCTCAGTAAAATGGCATATCTGACCTTCCAGATTGACTATGAGCACTACATGAGAAAAGGCTTCTTGAATGTCTAAGGGCTCCACTCAGAAGTTTTGCTATTAGCAAATGGCACACACTCATGTGTTCCCCATGTCTCCATCTGCAACAGGTGGGATTCCTCCTCATGCTTCATCTTTAACCAGCCTATCTCAGAGCAATACATGTTCAACAGAACAAACAAACAAACTTCTGATCCTTTCTTACCAGCTCCTCCATGTTGTCAAATTGAGCTAGCTGGGCCTTTAGTTCCATGCAGAAGTTCTGACTGAAAGTCCAGTTACTTGTGTCTTCAGAAAAATAAAAACATTTATTCCCAAATCCAATCCAGTTTCTTGGGCATGCACCATTGGCATTTTTGATTGATACTGGTTCTGGCCTTCTTTCTAATATTTGGACAATAAAATGAATTAAAACAAGAATTGGCATAGCTTACTAAGCTCAGATGTAAGGTGTGAATTTGACTAATGTGGGAGTGATTTCTTATTAAAAAAGAAATTGCCTAGGCCCCTTGATAGGCCAACCCTTAGGTGGGTGGAGTAAACAGAACAGAATGCTGGAAGAAAGAAGCTGAGTCAAGGAATCGCCATGATTCTAGCACTCCAGGCAGACGCAGGTTAAGATCTTCTCTGGTAAGCCACCTCGTGGGCTACACAGATTATTAGAAATGGGTTAGATTAATATGTAAGAGCTAGCCAATAAGAGGCTACAGATAACGGGCCAGGCAGTGTTTAAAAGAATACAGTTTCCGTGTAATTATTTCGAGCATAAGCTAGCCATGCGGGCGGCCGGGTGCCTGGGACGCAGTCTCGCCGCTCTTATCACTACATTTGACTGTATGTTTCCTTTCTAATCTGTAGAAATTGTCTCCTTAACATGATGGTTCTTTATCTAAATGTGTCCCAGCTCAGGCTTGTGCCCCAATCTCTTTCAGGTTCTCTCTGAAAACAGTGCTTCCAGGATGTGTACTTCTATAACATCATCACATTCCCTGCTTTGTGCTATTTCACTACAGTAGCATTCTGTTCAAACAACTACTTTGAAAGTCAGTCTGATAAGTGAGATAACAGTGAGGACTATTGGGAAGGCAGTGTATACAGTGTGGTCCTGTTGCACTAAGGGATTGCTCAGATGTTAGAATACATGGTTGCTCATTAGAGGTCACAGTCTTCCACAGCCTAGGAGCTTTCTCTCAAGATTCAACAATATAAAACTTTCTTTCTCTCCAACAAAGTTTCCAGCTCTCTACCTAGTCTTATCTGAATGATGCCCCTGGGCCTGGAGCCCTGACCTTATCTGAAAGCTGTTTATAAACCAGAAGCCTGTCTTTAAAACCAGATGTTTGATCGTCTTTAGCTTGGCCCTTGATACAGATCCCTACAAAGAAGACTAGTACGAGGAGCTCTGCTAAACGACCCTATTACCACATGCCAGGTCTTGTGAAAGGAGCGTGCCACTTAATATAAACTGGGGTTTGTCCCTAGGCTCCCCAATTCTATATATTCCTTATACTCTAGAATAAAGTTGACCAGATTCACCCACGTCTTTCTCTCAGAGGCCTCACTTCATTCATGCTCATGGACTGCGTACAAAACTTTCTGTCATCTCTTCTCATCTTTCCCCTCTCAACCTGGTGGCCGACAGGTTGAGAGGGAAAAAGGACAACCTTAATGATGGCAAGAGTATAAGCCTTTTATTACACTATTCTGAACAGTGTTTTTCTAAAATCCTATAAATTGATCACCTCAAAAACCTTTCATTGAATACTTTCAAAATACAGATGAACATTTTACATAACACCACGCATAATGGGGGGAGGTGATGTATCTTCCTGGACATATTACTCTTCTCTGTCCTCACATTTCCTTGAGGCTCTTCCTTTGGGTACTGCTTTCCTTATTCTCTACTTTCAATAGTTTCCCCAAGGTAGACATATGTCTCCTGCATCTCTTTATCGTTTACTAAATGTCATCTTCCCAGGGATGCTGAGCCTGACCTCCTGTGCACACAATAGCCTGTGCTGTTCCTTCACTGCATCTTCCTGCTAGATCCTATGTTCCCAGAGAACAGGAACTTCCAGTGTGTTTCCTCTCTGCCCTTCACACAGTCCTGGCTCACAGTGCTCAGTAAGTGTAACTGTCAGTGTGGATGTGGACAGTATGCTGCAGAATCTGAAGAATGTCACTCACCTGAAAATAACAAAACAAGAGAAAGTGCAATCACAGCTCCAAAGAGGAGGATGTTTGCTACATAGGAGCAGCAAAGCCTAGAAGACATGGGGGAGAAGATTCTGAGACGTTTTCTTTGGAACTTTTTACCTGAAAAATATAAATATGAAAATCATTCTCAAGAATCTTTCAGGAAGAAAGTATAGATTTACTCAGAATTTTTTTGTAGATTTTGCTTATACTCCTCCTCTGCAACACCCTTCTCAGAAAGTCCTGGTCTGTAGATGATATCTATGGCTCACAGAAAAATAGAAGAAAGTCAAACAGAATTGTTGCCATGGCGTCTTCTAGTTATTGAACTAAGCACCTTTAAAGGGTCAAGAAACAGAGAGTGAAGATCAAAATGAAAAAGAAAAAAACAAGCGAATAAACAAACACCTGTGGAGATAGTGACAGGGTGATCTCTGTGAGTTCGAGGCCAGTCTGGTTGACAAGAGCTAATTCCTGAGCATCCAGACAGCCAGGCTTGTCACATAAAGAAACATTGTCTTGGAAAAAAAAAAAGAAAGAAAGTTAGGACTGAGGGAAACACTGTAGGAGGTTGTGGGTGCAGGGATTAGCAAGAGGCTGGAGAGATAGCCAAGTGGTTAAGAACAGTTGTTTCTCCTCTGGAGTACATAAGTTTGGCTTCCAGTTCTCACTTGGGGCAGCTCATGACTGCCTGAGTTAATTCCCATTCCAGTCAGTGAAACAGACATGTTGGTACACTTCTGCAATTCCAGTGCTAGAGAGGCAGAAACCGGAGAGTCAGGGGTACAAAGCCAGCCTTGGCTATATAAGCAGTTTGAGGCCAACCTGGACTATATAAGGATCATTTTCAAAGAACCTAGTAAGTAATTAAATTAATAAGCACACACATAAAAGTAATGTAATAGAACACACTGACATAATTCATTGGTGAAATAGGGAACATTTTAACAATTTAACAAAACCATGTGAAATATATAAATATTAGTCCAAAATAACAAAAACTTTCAACAAGAATTGAAGGAACTCTTCCCAACACATTTATGGGTATATGGCATTTAAAAGAAATAAGTGTTGGCGAGAGACATTGTCACGAGCCATTTCCCCCCTAAAAATCATTACAGAAACCATCACCCTGGGGAGTCTGCAGAGAACCCCACACCCATAATTATGTTCTATTGAGAACCTGCCTCACATCCAATTAACTGTTAATCTGTTAGCAGAACACGCCTCACATTCCAGCTATCCAGGGAACCAGGTGTGGCAACTTGTGACTTCCTGGCCTACCTCCTGGCCTATGTGACCTGGAACACGCGGCAAGAATCCAGTTTCCCTGCCCCTCAAAGTCCTCATCCCGGGCCTATATAAGCAGCAACCATGACCCTAATAAACAGGAGGCTTTGACAAATCTGCTTGGCCTTCTTCTTCTGTCTTAGCTCATTCCCTTCCAGGTAGCGCCCCTCCGAGACCCTGGAATAACTGATTGCAGGGTGGGTTACAAACCCCTAGACTGAGTAACCCACCCAACGCAATCGACAAGACATGACTCTAGAGGTGTTCCCAGGTGTCCATGGAAATATCCCCAGTTAGAGTTTTGGGCAGCTGAGGAAAGGGAGCCTGAAATGGCCCTATCCTATAGCCATACTGATGAATATCTTGCATATCACCATAGAACCTTCATCTGGCAATGGATGAAGATAGAGACAGAGAACCACATTGGAACACTGGACTGAGCTCCTAAGGTCCAAATGAGAAGCAGAAGGAGGGAGAACATGAGCAAGGAAGTCAGGACCACGAGGGGTGCGCCCACCCACTGAGATGGTGGGGCTGATGTAATGGGAGCTCACCAAGGCCAGCTGGATTGGGACTGATGGAGCATGTGATCAAACTAAACTCCCTGAATGTGGCTGACAAGGAGGGCTGACTGAGAAGCCAAGGACAATGGCACTGGGTTTTGATCCTACTGCATGTACTGGCTTTGTGGGAGCCTAGTCTGTTTAGATGCTCACCTTCCTAGACCTGGATGGAGTGGGGAGGACCTTAGACTTCCCACAGGGCAGGGAACCCTGACTGCTCTTTGGACTGGAGAAGAACAAGAAGGGGGTGGGGGGAGGGGGAGGAAAATGGGAGGAGGTGGAAATTTTTAAATAAAAATAAACAAATAAAAAATTCAAAAAAAATAAATAAGTAAGGTCTTTCATTGTTCTAAATTTTATTCTTTATTTTATGCTTATAGTAGCTATGCCTACATATAAATCTATGTTGCAGAATAATTATACACTGTGAAGACATGTCTTTGCCAAGGCACCATCTGATAGGTTTAATAAAGAGCTGAATGCCAATAGCTATTTAGGAGAGATAGACAGGATTTAAATGAAGAGAAATGATGAGACAAAATCAAGATACCAATGAGACACCGAGAGACATGGACATACAGAACAAAAGGAAGCTAAAAAGCTTCAAGACAAAACATCCGTTAATTGAAGTGGGTAAATTAAAATTCTAAGAGCTAGTTACAAACAAGCCTAAGCTAAGGCAAAGCTTTCAGAAGTAATAAGAAGTTTCTATTTCATTATTTGGGAGCTGGAGGGACTAACAAATACTCCTCATATGTCTGTGCAAGATGGGCGGGCATGCATGATCTACAAGGAGACTGAATTTCTTGGAACTGGAGTTACAGATATTTGTGAATGGCCGTGAGAGTTGTAGGAACTAAACCTGGGTCCTCTGCGAGAGCTGCCAGTGCTTTTGACCATATTGTAGCACAGTTAAGAAAAACTCAGAGACAGATATTGGGTTTTAACCTGAAGATCAGAAAAGTAAAACAGTCAAGCCACTAGAGAATTCTTCCCTCTAAGAAATCCTCAGACTAAAAAAGAACGAGTTCCTGTCTCAACACTGAAGTATTTCTCTCTAGTGTTTAAATTAAAGGTGTGAGCCACCACCACCTGGATCTGTTTCTGCATGAATCAGGATAGCCTCACAGAGATCCATTTGGAGGCACTGCCTCCCAAATCCTGGGATTAAAGATGTGTGACACCACTGCCTGGCCTCCAAGTGGCTTAGTTTGACCTTCTGGAGTTAAGGCAAGTTTTATTTATAAAACATAAGTAAAGTATCACTATACTATATGCCATCTCTCCAGTACAAGATAACTTTCAAATCACTTGAAAATTCAAAAGAATTAGTCTAGCTGAACAATTTGGAAACAAAACAACAGAAAACAAAAAACGAGGCTAAATTTGTTGAAACGACACCACCCAATCACAGAGTGACAGAAACAAAGATATAAGTATGGTTTTGACAAGGTATGGAATCTAAACCAAAAGAACAGAAAATAATAATAATAAAACAAGAAACAAGTCAATCATGTGGGCCAGGCATATTCAACTGGGTTTGACATATTTAGGGAGATAATGTTGCTGCATGTCATCCTCCCAGGAGACTGATCTTTGTGCACACTGCACACTGCTCTACTCCCTTCTACTTCATGCTCCTTCTTTCCTCCTAATCTGAGACAATCTGTATCCACATGCTTAAAGTTCACTTGTCCTACCTCCTATAAAATACTACTCAAGCATGAAGCCTAGGACTATAAAACTATCCAAGGAAAAGAGAGAAAAAAGAACCTCTGTGAACTACTGTTGAATAAAAATGTCTCAGGTATAATAGCAAAATTCTTATCTACATTATAAAAAGTGGAACAGTTTGATTTTTGCCTAATTAAGAAACTCTCTTTTATAAGTCCTGTAAATACAATTCAAAACCCAATTTTTAGCAAGACATAAATGAAAAAGTTGTTATATCCTGAGAATTGCAAGAACTCATAGTTTTAAAAGAGAGAGAGAGAGAAAGAAGAAAAATGAGCCAAATCCCTGAATACTGATAAATTAGGATCATGCATTAAATATGCTTGGTGTTACAAAGTTTGATAAAAGGCAATTAGAAACAGATTATCAGTTTGATAAATGAGAATACATTTACTATATGCCCTGGTTCTGCTATCCACAAATTTTCCCAAGAGAAATGAATACCCAGGTTTCCATTATAAATTAAAATCTGCATGTGAATATTGACAGTAATACTGGAGAGTCTTATAAATATACTTTGTTTTTAAAATTCACATCTTGCAGCAGCCAAACATCCTCCAACTTTGAAAATATAAATCAATATTACTGATCACTGTGGATGGGGCATTATAAACTTAGAGCATGTGCTTGTGCCTGACCATGTCTCACACTGTGACCACGTGTTCCTTAGGTGTTAGGATTATGATTATGCTGACCTGCTATACCTAGAGCAGGGAGGAACAAATAAGTTGTCTGTCATGCAGCTCTGATCACAGTTAGCAACAGGAATGTCCCCATTGGGTAAGTATTTGGTTTCAAAAAATCAGCTCTGCTGAGCAAAGGGAGCAGGAGTTATAGGTCAACTAGGTCAACTTGGAATACAGTATGAGCCTGTCTCAAAGAATTAGTCAATCAGCAGTAAGCAGCAGCATCAATAGTTAATAATTGTAATAATAGTATATCTCAGGAAAATACTTGGTTTAAGTGATAAACAATAACATTTGTCATGAATTTTGTATTTTGTTAAATATCAGTTTTTTTTTAGCTAAATGAAAACAGTTAAGGAGAAGGGACAGGGAAGAAGGAAAAAAGAAGATAAAAGGCTGGGTGGTGGTGGCACACGCCTCTAATCCCAGCTCTAATCCCAGCACTCAGGAGGAAGAGGCAGGCAGATCTCTGTGAGTTCGAGGCCATCCTGGTCTACAAGAGCTAGTTCCAGGACAGATTCCAAAAGCTGCAGAGAAACCCTGTCTTGAAAAACCAAAATAATGATAATAATAATAATAATGATAATGATGATGAAGCATAGACATTTTCAAAACACAAGAAACACAATATTGCTTCCTTCCTGAAGATTGAAGTAGAAAATCCATTATATTCTTTTCATAATTTACTAGGAGCTCAAAATGCAAAGGATTTGGTCCCGGGTGTAGTCAGCCTAGACCCAGTGCCTCCTTACATTTTTTCCCCATTACAGTGGACCTGTAAAACTAAAACCCCAGCTTCCGAGGCAACTCCTGTCACTGTGCACATTGCAAAGCTGTTGTTTGAATTTGCCTTTGCTGTGGGAGTTGTAGAGCAAGCATGTTCCACAGGGACTTGTTGTGATTCACCAGAGTGTAATTTACCAGATGCCTGGGGAAAGAGTGGGCTAGCAAGCTAAGAAAAAAGGGAGACACCCCCACACACACACACACACAAATAAGCCATGCTTCCGGCTTTTGTATGGTAGTTCACTGTTTGTTTTTCTTGTGCAAGACCTATTTACGAATAGAATAACTAATGTAATAACTTCTTCGCTAACTAAAACTCCTGTCTGCATTCTCTGGTTCTGCAGAAACGCACTGTGACTAGCTCACAGATATGAGGTTCAGCTTCTCTGCCCTCTGTGCCCCTTCTGTCCCGTCCCTGGCAAGCACCTCTCTGCTTTTGTAGTTTGGTTAAAATATGCATTAAACACATACCCATGTCGTCCTTCGGCGGGCTGTCTCTGGTACTGAGCAATCTGACTAAAGCCTCTGCAGGCTCTGGAGCACTCATCTCAGGGCCACGACGTTGATTCTCAGCTACAAGACAGAAACGTAAAACGTTTTGAGGAAGGAACAGTTTTTTTTTCTTCCCTTCCGGGACCTTGCTTATAGGGCGGTTCCACTCTGCTCTCTGCCTGTGTATCTATCCTATCAGCACAGGCCTGCTTCGCATTTGACAACACTTTACTGCTTTGAATGCCACACAAAAGGCAATGATCCTTCGGATAGGTGAGCCAAATGTTGCTACAACTTTGAGTATTGGAGACATCACCGAACTGAAGAAGAGGTGCCAGGGCCATGCCAGAGGGTTGTGTGTGGTAAGGATCCAGAAGACAGTCAGAATCTGGAGAGCTGGAGGCCACACTGTCTGTCCACAGTCAGTGAGCACATTTCCCTCCTCTCCAGGAGTAAGAGATCGTTTATTCTGGAGCCAATTATAAGTTATTCGGGCTGTCTCTTACATCAGGTTCCAATATGGAAATGTTTGATTAGTGGTGTGTGCACAGAAATGACACATCCCACTGCCATCCTCACCAGTCTAAGAAATGCCTCTAGATCAGTTGTTCTTAACTTTCTTACTGCTGCACCCCTTTAATAGAGTTCCTCCTCATGCTGTGGTGACCCCCAACCATAAAATTATTTCATTGTTACTGTAATTTTGCTATTGTTCTGAACCAGAACAATAAATAAATTGATAGTTGACCCCTATGAAATGCTCATTCAACCCTTTCCTCTCAAAAAGGTTACAACCCCCAGGTTGAGAATCATTGCTCTAGATTTTGAGGGAACTTTGGCTCAGGCTAAACCAAGGTTCATAGCTTTGATGCCAAAGGGACTTTCAGGACTAGACAGTTGATAAAGCAGAGTTGGAGTTTTTTCTAAGATTTATTTGTCTTATATTGAATTGTGTGTATTTATGTGGGTGTGCCTGTCTGTGGGACTGTGCCTATGTGTGCAGGTGCCTGCAGAGGTCAGAAGAGAATTAATGTCAGGTTGCTCCAGAGCTGTAACTGTAGCCTTGAGGCATTTGGATTTAGAATGCAGGTGCTTCAGAACTGTAGCAATGGAATATCATCATCCTCAAGCAAAAACAGAATTAGCATTGTTTTCATCAGAACATATGCCAAGGAAAATTATAAATATCTCAGAAATGTTTTTAGAAACTTGAATAAAATATTTGTGTGATGGCTACAACAGTGTGTGAATCCGATCCCAGAATGAGGGCGGCTGTAACAGGTGGGTTTCGATGAGTCCGAGGCTATCTTGGTCTACAGAGGAGCTCCAGGCCAGCTAAGGCTAAGTAAAAAAACAAAACAAAACAAAACAAAAATACTATAAATTTAGAGGTTGGAGAGATGACTCAGTGATTAACAATATTGGCTGCTCTTTCAGAGAACCCAAGGTTCAATTCCCAGCACCCTCATGGCAGCTCACAACTCTCTGTAACTCCAGGACCAGGGTATCTGACACCCTCCTACCAATGCACAATATAGTAATATAACATATTAAACATATTATGCATACTATAAAAATATGAATTAATAGATATGCAGTCAGAGGGGTTTTGAATTCAGGTATTTTGGATACTAACCTGCCAATGTAGTTGGGGTTTTTCTTTCTACTTCTTTTCCCTTTCGGACCACTCATCGGTGGTTCCATTGTGAGAGACTGCTTGGAGTGGCATCTAGCCTCTCTGGCTTCTGAGTCACCCAGACTGGAGCCAGTCAAGTTTTAACACCATACCTGCAGATAAAGAACACTCTTCTACAAGCCTTGTGGTGTTTGCTACCATTTCACACCACACCTATAGAGAGGAGACGTCCCTGTATAAGACTTGTGATGTCACCGTTTTCACGGGTTCTCACGTTTTCAGCTATGGAACCCTCACTCAGCTGGTGGCCCACCTGCTCCACTGGCTTCACTTTTCCTCAAACTGTCCCTGCCACCGCTACTGCTGTCAACAAGATTGGTTGGATCCATGAGGCATCTGTTTTCAATTCCAACCCCACCACGGCTTGTATCATGGTGGCTTGGCAACAGGGTGGATCACACCTCTAGGTCTCTCTTTCATATAACATGTGGCCCCTGCCATTTTGACTGAGGTCAGATGACTTTACCACCATCTTAACTGAGGTAAGGTGTCTTCACTGCATCAGGTGACCAAATCCCATCATCTCCCGCAGCTTAGAAAATGGTTTTTTTCCATACAACATGTGACTGCCACCATTTTAACTGAGATCAGGTGACCTTACTGCCATCTTAACTAAGGTCAGGTAACTTCACTTTCATCTTAACTGAGATCCAGGTCAGGTGACTAAGTCCTACCATCATTACTGAAGTATACCTGTGTGCTCCCCAGGTTTACTTATGTTTTTGTCTCTAAATTCCTCTTGCTGACTCTGTTGCATGTGTGTTTTGTGCAGTGGCATGTCTTTGGTAGGGCCCACCAAGAGCATCCACTTCATCCAATTTCTGTTCACTCTGTGTGTGTATGTTCATACATGTAACTTAAAAGCACCTATGTTTATTGCTAAATGTCATAATTGTCTGTTCATCGCATCTCATTTCAGACTACAAAGCAATAAGTCTCATGTTTTAAACTGGTATGTACTTTTTAGTCTCTTACAAAAATATAGTATATTTAATACAACCCTGCTTTACCTGTTAAGTTGAGAGCCAGTACAGACAAGCTTGAACCCAGCTCTCCAGGAAGATTCTACTCTGTTGCTGTACCTGATAAACAGTCCTCAGCTGCTCAGAGATCTGGGGAATTTGGAATTTAATATTTAATTATTAAAAGACTTTTCATAACAAAAAGAGACAGGTTAGCTCTTAGCAGCAACATTCTATTTCCTCCAAAGAAAACAGAAGACAAATGGGCACAAAACAACATTTATCTGTACTTTGTTTCAATTGCCAAAATTTACCCTTGGGCAAAACTGCCTTTAATATAAACTGAAGGTCTTCAGACAGTAGACAGAATCACTGGAATCAACAGCCTAGCTGCTCAGGTCAAGGTAGGCTTAACTTCCTACATATTTCTTAGCTCATAGGATCTTCTGGAGTCTGACAGTCTGTGTGCTAAATAGCAAAAGTCAAATATGACTTTCAGTGACCATGAAGGACCCTGAGGAGTAGCTCTAGGTGCCAACCAAGTAAGTTCTCTGTTGGTTTTAAATCAATAACTCAAGTAAAATTTTATCCTTTTCAAATATCTCTGTTGCAGTTTGACAGCTGAGAGTTTTTGTCAGTTTAAAAGGACAGCCTCACCAAGCAAATTTCAGCAAAACACAAATACAAGTTATTAAAGCATGTACCTAGAAGTTATAAAGATGTGAAGACAAGTGCACACTATCAAATTTCTCTCCCATGCTGTCTTTCATAGTCTTAAAAATCCTTTCATTATGCAAAACCCTCTATCACAGTCAATCTGACATAATTATGTTGCTGTTTATATAATACATATGTATAAGACTTTCCACAAACCCAAAAACTTTCTTGTGAGTTGCAGGGAGCCAAATTCAAGGATCTCCCTTAAACAGGTCAGATACACCATTCTCAATTCCCTGTTCCTATTTTTTTTCCCTTAAACTTAAGTTTCTCCTGGGTTCTGCCAATACCTTATACAGGTGCAAGAGACACCAGACATTTCCATATCACAAACATCAGACTGAACAAAGAAACCAGCTACCTCAGGATGTGACCAGCACCCAGTTTTCTCAGCTCCCCCCCAAAAAATGACACCCACAGATAAGTAGGAAGCAGTCTTGAGAATCCACTGCCCCAATTCCTTTAACCTGTTGTGCCTAACCTCCTGCCTTCTTATAAAAAAGAGATGGGAATGTGATTGTCTGTCCTGTCCCTTGAAGGGAGAAGCCATGCCCACCCCTTACCCTGTTTGCTGAGGCAAGCTGACATTCAGCTTCCAGCCTGAGTTCCTTCCTTTCTGTCTCTCTCTCTCTCAAAGAGGCAGTTTCTGTCTCTGCCTTATCTCCATTTCTCTCCTTCCCCCTCTCTGTTTCTCTCTCTCTCTACTTTTCTCTTCTCTTTCCCCTTCTCTCTTTCCCTTCCATAATCCACTAAGTAAATATACAATCTCACTCTGCATGGCATGCCTATCTTTCTCAGTCTCTCACCCACCATGTGGCTTCCTGACTGGTACCTGGCTGCCTTTGTGTCCTGCCATGGTCTTGGAACCCACTGCCCACTGCCTGGTGCCACTTGGGGACCTGTGAAATTTTACTTAAACCATTATAGTAGTGACTTGATCCAGGAAGAACTTCATTTAAAAGTTTAAAAGACATAATGAAAGTGTAAGTGTGAGAATAATTAGAAGAAAAGGAGGGATAAAGAAGATGAGCCTGATTGTGAGGGAACCCAATACACTTCCACAGCAGCAGGCTTGTCATTGAACTTTTTCTCTGGTCCTTAAGTCTCAAGCCAGTTTAGATTCATTGATACAGAAGCAGCACTGTTCCTGGAGTGGGGGGGGTGCACAAATCCCACCTTTATCAGTAGTCACGAGACCTAGTCCTCTTTAAGTTTGGATCATGACATCAACCAAAGAATCAATCTGGAATTTCTTCAAGGTTTTCTGAAAGCTGGTGGGACAGAGAGGTTAGCTGATTCAAACAAGCCCTCATCCCAGCCTTTTCAGTTCTGCACAGCAGTTGAAAACATAGCACACACAGCAGACATTATATACAGTATAACGAACTTCATAATTCTCATAAATGCATCATTCCCTTATACGTTTATTATATTATTGTTCAATATTTTAGATGTAGACTTTTGAATTTGACTTTTTATAACAGTTCTGTGAGCTAAACTCAAACTGAGATATATACAGCTAGATGTTTTTCCCAGATCCATTTTCTCAGTCCAATTGAAACAAAAGCCAGTTTGACTGATTCTCTTTCTATTGTAGAATGATGGCTTCCAAATATATCTGACCACTACCATCTAATAAGAGCATCCTTTAATCAAAGAGTGAAATCACACAGCAGCTGAACTAAATTCTCTGCCTGACATGGATATCTTCACGTATCATATTTTAACTATGAATCAAAATTAAGTA